TCTTTTTCAATAAATTATTTATAATTAATGTTTTAATGAATTGCTTTCGAAATATGGGAAACATTTTCGCAATTAATATATATTTTGTTAAAAATTACAAATTTATTGTAAAATACAATCAAAACAAAGAAATTAATGTAAATTATAAATAGTTTTATAAAACCACTGCTTATTGCTCACCAAATATGATATGATTTAAATGCCATTCATATATAACGTTACGCATAATGTTTGCCCAAAACTTAACCGCTGTATTGATTGCATTGAATTTAATTGTAATTATAATTAATGCAAAATATAATTAAATATAAACGAAGCGATGGTTTGAGCGAAGGATTGGATGATTGCAACGACTGATTGTGTTTGCAATCAAGTGTTAGTGTATTGCAAATGATGTGATATATTGAGCCTAATATATATGATGTGATGTTTGGATGAGTACTGTATTGAGTGACTCAATGAGTGGTAAAAGTGATTACATTATTGTTGTTGTCATGAATTGAATGCATTTATAGTTAATTGAAATTTAATTTATTATTAAACACTAATTGCTATACATTTGAACCCAAATCGCCGTTCATTTGCTTTCAATCCATTGTATATCCCATCATATGTTGCAAGTGTTGACCACTCTTTGCATCACATGATGGCATCGATGCAGGTATTGATCGCCCAATTGATCCGTCCTTTCATTGTTTACATATTTTGATTGCCATTTGATTTTGTTGTCACAGAAACGACTTCAGAAGGAACTGCTGGCCATTCAAAAGGAACCGCCGATTGGTTAGTCATTTGATTGTCTTATTTGATTCTTACCATTAAATGTCTTTCTCTGGTCTATAGGAGTGACAGTGAATGAGTCTAATATCGGACCAAATCTAACCCAGTATTCAATACCTATTCATTTGAAACGATTGATTGCTTTAAATAAGACATTATCTCTAAAACAGATGGATCGTCGACATCGACGGACCGGTGGGCACACTATACGAAGGCGAGCACTTCCAACTGCTATTTAAATTCAGGTAATTTGCTCTTCACTTCACTCGCCATACATTTCAATCACACTTATATCTAATTTTATTTTCTTAATTATTTGAGTCCGAAATATCCGTTTGATTCGCCGGAAGTGACATTCATGGGCGCCAACATTCCAGTCCACCCTCACGTCTACAGCAATGGACACATATGTCTGTCGATACTAACTGAAGACTGGTCTCC